ATCAAAATCCTAACCTGTTGGAATCTATTATAATAAAGGTTTTTTTGTATTTCCCAGTGAATGAAAAACAAAATGGTATTGTTTATCATTCATTGGGAAATACAAAAAAACCTTTATTATAATGAATATCATATACCTAATGCCCAAATGTTTTCAAACCGTTAAAAGTGAACTTGGTTTGGACATATATAACTGTTGGAATCTACTTTGTGTTACGTAAGAACCGATATTAACGCATAACATTAGGCAGAAGTGCCACTATATCTTGTAATTCACTGAGTGAATTCCTAGCATGTTACACGACAATCTCTCGATTTATTTGACTACATTTGATCTCAACTGGGATATGTATGCTTTTACAAGATCCCAAGCAAGTCATATTTTATCCTCAATGATTTTATAAACAAACGAATATTTGAAAAACACGATAACTACTTATTTTTTAGCCCGGTTTGTTTTCTTTTCAAGAGTTTTAAGTAGAGTTCTACTCAGACTGGGGCAGTATTACTACGAAAATATGTGCTTCCTTCTACAGTCAAACTACAGTATAAGGGCAGTAAATTTAGAAGACTGATACCTGATTCCGAAAGTCCCACAGAAGGAGGATGACAGAATTATTACTGAAAAATTTGCTGGACGTCACTAAAATAAAAAACTCAAATTATTAACAAATCACTAAATTATATAGAAATTTCTTTGTCTGTGTACCGTTATGGTTCTAACAAGGTTTTCCAGTTTCACAATGATAGACTTGTGACTGCCGATCAGAGCTGTAAGAAGATGGACGACATTAGATTGTATATTTCCATAGATGACAATAGTACTAACTGCCATACCGTTGTCAGTTAAAAGCTTTTGTAATCAGCGTATACGCTTAACAAAAGCTAATAATAATAAAGGCTTTTTAGAAATTATGCATTAATTAGTCATCAATTGCAGTCCACTCTGTGGGCGTGAGTTCGAATCCCACTCCTGATATCAGATTTATGTGCGTCCGTGGCATGGTGGTAAAGTGCTCGCCAACGACGCAGGTGGTCCGGGGTTCGATCCCCAGCCGACGCACTTCTTTACTTCGCTAAGCCAGTAATAAGATTGGCAAAGAGGGAAGGTTGGGCGTGAGGCTAGTAACCCCACCCTGTAAAAATAAACACCACAGCTACCGAAACTTCAAGCCTCTATCTTGAATCCATATGTTTCACTGGGAACGTAAAGGAATAAAAAGAAACTTAGTCATTCATTACTGCACCTAACTCACACATATGGGTGAAAAATCTCTTCATGATTTCAGACTAAACTATGAGTCTTAAATATATTCCATAAACTTGTGTTTTACTCATTATCAGTATTGTTTCACTAAACTCATCAATATTTACATTATTAACAAAGTGGGATATACCTTTCACAGATTTTTTTTTTCTCAACATCTTCACTGTCATCAACAGTTACTAAATTATTCATAAAAATGAAATAGCATGATGAATTATGAAAACTGCTTTACTCTATGGCTATGATGGCTTGAAGTAATCATTAAGGATGATTTGTCTAAAACATATTATGTATGGTATTAGTCTTTGTGAACAAAGTTATTATTCCACTATGACAACAGTTACTGTGCTACATACTTTTTATGAATAATATTTCAATGGATGACACAACAAATACCTTTTTTCTTTAAAAAACAATGTTAATAATAATAATAAAGCGAGAACAGATTGGCACACGTTTTCACTTTCAATTTGATCTTAATTTTCATATTTCAATGATATATATGAAATGACAACAAAAATATAAAATATACGACAAGAAACAACAAACACAACAAAGAGCATACTGACAAATGAAGTGACAAAAAGAGCAGGTGAATAGTGTAAGTATTGAGTAATGTACAATTTGACATGAAGTGATACACAAATTCACTAGTGAATAGATACCGACAACAACAGTGAATGATAGAACTTTTTTTTAAAACAAACTCTAGTAATGACTGTAAATGTTAAAACATACATAACAATATATGCATACATATTAGGTAACAATAGGTAGTGATCAGGTGAATAAGAAATCAGGAGAGATACAGGAGTAGAAAAAGGCCTGTATATATAGGTGTACGTGCATATATATGAGCAAACGAAAAGGTCATGGTCCAGTAGGATGTTTTGTTTATATATATATTCAATAAAATGGAGGAGAGCTAGTTTTTAACGATGTACTTCGATCTAACCGATTGGGAGGTTTGTTTGTTAACTCTGTCTCTGTATTGGGATAAAACAAATGACAACATTAAATGTCAACACACAACACAACATTATACAATACGTAGTAACAGTAATCAAAACAACTATAGAACAACATAAATCTAACATTGGAACAACAACAATGACAACAATAACAGGAAAAGCATAACTCATAACTCAGGAAATAGACAACATATATACACATATATTTATGTATTTAAAAACTCTACTTTTCATAACGAATCGAAGTGATTTTGATGAATAGATGTGTTAAATCCGTTTGTATACCAGAATACTCTATAACTTATTAATGTAGTTAATTCATACAAAGATGATATTGTAGGAGAGATATGGGTAAAAATGTCGTATGATATCGACGCCTGAGGCTATTATCACGACTTAGCTTCTCAGACCGGCAGTCTTATCAAAATAAGAAATAATAACAGTTTCGTGAATGTGTTTTGAATAATTATGTCAGATAAATGTCTGAAAAATAATTTTTCTCCTACACAAAGTTATGCTCAATGATGTGAATTAACTCAGTCGTAGCTATAATTTATGCAATCACTAATTAGAAGTGCTGGAGGCCACTAGGTAAAAAAAACTTCAAACTTAAAATCAATAATCCTGTAAATCCCTCAAACACACACAGCTCTATAAAGTCATTTATGTATGGATAGTAGGACAAAAGAGCTTGGGTTGCTTTCACTTTGAGTAAACTTGCGTCCAATATCAACAAAGAAAGTCTCACTTCATGTATTAATTACCATTCAGACGTACGCCCTGAGCACAACTCTTTCATCAATTTTATGTTATGTCATCTTTTTATGTTATTAAGAAACTCTTCTTTAACAATCGTTTGTGATAACTCATCACTTTTGTTACTACCCTCTTATATCAACATCCAATTCATCTAGAATTACTAATTGTATTTTTGTTTCGCTAATTTAATGTGCGCTCACATACAAAACAACTATATACATTTGCAATTGTATAGCTATGAAAATGAATTCACCGAAGAAAAGACTTCATTGAACTATTGATCTTGTGTCTATTAATGTGCTGCTAATTAACAATCTAATTTCTTATAAATTTATTTACAGAATTTATCGGTATGTGCTAGTCAATACCCAAATTAACGCAGCTTTTGCCCAATTGATTACAAAAGGAGTCTTGCCGAAACGGTCTCCTAAAGCAGAGCTAGGGCGTTATGTTGAGAAAATATAAGATTGAAAAGGAACTCACGATTACTGAAAAGAACCTTATGGAGAATGGATATCCCCGAAATTTTATACCAAAATATGGAAGTAAAAAATCACCGAAACTAAAGCTCAAAACAGTTGAAAAGAAACCAAAGTTTATCTGTCTAGCGTATTTAAGAGAAGAAGTGCCCACAAGAGTCTAATAAAGAATCAAAGGTGCATTGTAAGAAACATTTTCCGCTCCCAGACTGATTTTGTTTTACAGCACCGTATGCTCATCAATTCAGCATTAGGCTCGTGTTAACTTCAGCTGCATTTATCAGTTCGCTTGCACTTGTGAGAGGAAGTAAATTCAAGGACTGAGAGGACAGGATATACTAGATTTTCTGAGCAGATCCGTAGAAGCCTCTGGACAAATGGTAGCTAAATGTTCTCAAGTACAACTGCTAGACGCCTAACTGACATGGGACATACTGTGCAGGTTAACCAAGCTTTCAAAATAATCAGTATACATGGAAACCCCATTACTTCGTCTCTGAGACGCCATTGCTATCAATAGATTTCAACTAGACGTCTTTATAAAGAAAGACAGAGTGATAATTCTCTCACTACTCTGGTAACAGTTATTGTTTTGTTCATGTTTCTGTGTTTGATTCTATTGCGCGAAATTCCTCTAATTTTGATTTTCCCGTACTGAGTTTAACTCACTAGTAAGTTTCCAAATTTATTTGATCATTTTCCCGTAATAATTCAACTTTACTAATTATCCCCACCCTCTTGAACTCTCCATTGTAATATGCATAAATTCACACTGTCTTTCGATCTTATATCTTCCCTTCAATCTATCCTTGGTTTCAATCTAAACCTGAACTGTGATCCTCTTGTCCTGTTATGCTATTAGTGTTTATCTTTTAAACAATGAACAGTTAGTCCACCTAAATCACTTTGGATTTGTGTTATTTGTACTTTTTAAACATAACCCGACTTCATTGTGAGGAAATTATTTTCGCAAAATTTTGTAACCCATATTTTGATATTGTTTAGAATGTATGCAGTTGGAAAAGAAAAAAAAACCAAGAAGTAAAACGTGTTCGTATCATCCTGAAAGTATGTGCTTTCCTTCTTTGTTCAAACGAACCCTAGGAAATAGTTGAATGAAAGATTAACAGAATGTTTTTACTAGAGTAGACCATCTTCTTCTGATGTTTTCAAAGATTACCTCCTGATTACCTTGACACTTTTTGACCAGCATCTTAGACCATTTTCAGTCTAATCAGGTCAACGTATTTCTTCTGCTTCCATACATTTGTTTACTTTGAAAGGGGTATTAAAAAAAATAATATAAGAGGTTGAAGAGCACAGAAGGATATCATTTAATTTCATCATTTTATTATATGCATTTACCGCTCAACCAACTTCTTAAATAAGAGTTATTTTGTTAAATGTAAAATGTATCAATTCAATTTTACAAATGAAGACAGTTACCAAGTTATGTGTGTGTGGGTGCATGTTTAATTAAAAACTTACTGCAAACAAATTGTTAGAGGTTAGTAAATCTACTTACTTGTCTGAGATGTGTCAGGATTAGTTGATTTTGGTTTAAGATTTGTTTTTGCATTTGTCAGACCAGTTGTCGCCAAAGCTGTGGACTGACTTTTACTAGCTGCACAACGTAGTAAATGGTACACTGGATCAATTTCACCTAGACAAATATAACAGATAATAAGAGACTATTTTTTTATTTTCTAAAAGGCAGAAAACGAAACAGAAGTTTTAGGTAAATGTAAAAATATGAAAGTCAGCTTTATGTTTCATTTATAACCAGTAAGTTATTATTATTATATCCTTTAATTCCTAGAGGAACTTAGGGCTTCAGCCGTGCGTTTGGTTCTCTGCCAACTTTTTCACACCGCTCCAAGTCTGCCCACATGCTTTCATTTTCTCTTCACATGACCTCCTCCAAGTCACCCTTGCACTGACGACCAACTCGCCGCTTCCATTCTGGGTTCCACTCGAGTGATGGCTTGTCACTTGATGGTTTCCTCAGCGTATGGCCAATCCATCCCCATTTCTTCTTGCCTATTTGTTTCACAATCGGTTCCTGAGTAATGAAAGGTTGTCTTGCTTTTCCGATTCTGGGTTTGATATCCTCGTCAGTTCCGCCTGTAGTCGAAACGATGCTTCTCAGATAGGTAAAGGAGGTTGTTTCTTTCAGGTTCCTCCCATTTATGCTGGCTGATTGTTGTCTGTTGTTGTTGTTGCTGTTGGTGTTGGCCAGTAATCTTTATCATCTCTGTTTTTTCAATGTTCACCTAAAGTTCTTTCTTTGATGCTTTTTCTGAAGCATCGGTTAATAGTTTGACACAAAGTAAATTTTCTCGAATGCATCCCGTACACGTTAGATCCAAACGTTCTATTGAAGGGCTAAGATATAAAAGCTGACTGATGAAAATGACTTCTAATTCGAAAAGTATCACAAGGTCATGAGCAGAATTTGTTACATTCAATCAAACATCTCGTGATCTAACAGAAAAAGCTTCCTTAGACAGTAAAGGAAAAAGATTAATCTTAACTAATTATCATACGAATTTCTTCTATAATTTCATAGTGAAACAAACCTAAGGTTACAAGTTATTAAGGTGTTTTCACATAAAAGAATACAAGACTACAACTGAAGAAAATTAATATAAACGGCAGTAGAAAGAAAATAAAGTAAAGCACATGATAGTGAACTGATTTTTGTGCATTGTATTATACATCGCTTACATGTAAATGAATTAAGAGTTTATAATATTATTGGCACATTTATGAGTGAAATAGATTCTTAATATAAAAATAAGTAATAAGCAGTCAAAGTGGAAAAGACATTTCCAGGATCACACCATCCAGTGCAATACAATATTATGTGAGTAAGGGTATATACATCTATCTATGCGTCATGTGAAGTATGTATAGGGCGTGTTAAATCATGCACGAAAACTCCAAAACTAAGTGTACAGCTCTAGATTGCCTCATAAAACTTCATTATGAACACAATAATGTCAGTAGTCGGTGGCACAGCGGTTAGGATGCTCGCTGACCATACGCATGGTCCGGGGTTCGATCCCCGACCGACACACCCTTTTACCTCGCTAAGCCAGTAATAGAACTGGAAAAGAGGGAAGGCTGGGCATAAGGCTAGCAACCTCATTCTGTAAAAATAAACACTGCTTCTGAAATTTCAAGCCTGAAGTTCTATGTTCCACTGGGAACGTGAAGGAATAAATAAAATCTCAATATTATGAGACCAGATTTATTCTCTTTGGTGAGTTATACTAATTAGTGGTTTACTTTCTGTTATCAAGACAATTAGCTGGATGAATTGTGGTCTGCATTTGATGAAAAGCATAATTCTAGTATTTTTCCTGTTACAATTTAATTTATAGTGCTCGTTATTGATCCGTCTTAACCTTTCTATCGCCAAGCGGGGTAATGTTCTTTAGCTCTTCTGGATAAAACTATCATTGGACAACCTATATACCTTGTTCCACAGAAGCTAATGAATCAGTAGATATACATGGAAGTGGATACATCCTATCGATTATTTTTTCAGACTTATTGGCTGACATTATATATAAAAAAGAGTAACGGTTAAAGTTGGTCAACAAGGAGTTCTATAATTGAAAATAGATTTTAATGTATCTCGTTTTTATATATATTTTTTTCTTATGCAAAAAATGATAACGCATTGTCTTGAACAGAAATTTGCAGTGAAACTAAAACCTGCTTCATATCCATTAAGATAAAATGCATAATTTTAATTCATGGAAAATTCCCATTGTAACATATAGAAAATCAAAACATGTGATTCGGTAAAGAGACTCTTTCCAAAGAATTTATTATTGGTTCAAAAATATTAAATTATTATTCTGAAAACGTTTCGCATCAATGAAGGAATTGTGTAAAAAATATGTTCTTTGAAATTTCTTAAAAGCACACTTTGTAAGCATAGTTCTGTCCTACAGGAGATTGAGCACAAGCTCGATTAGCTCAATGGTAATGTCTCTGACTGCAGGTGGCACTGGGTGACACGGGTTCAAGTCTCAGAGGGGATATGAGTTCCTTCAAGGTTATAAATGCGCTTTGCTGATGAGTTCCAACTGGCACGAAACCTATGTGCTAGGCTTCCTGCTAATCACCTCCCACCATCTATTAACAACAATACTTGGTGCGCATGACCAGCAAATTAGAAGTTTAATTATGTTCTGACTAGATAGCATGTATAAATGTAAATTCACTGACGTGACCGCTTAACTAGATTGAGGTCAAATAGTTTATTCTTCATCCTTTCATCCTGTCTTCCTTTCACAATATTTCCCTGAGTGTGTCTGCAAGGTGTTCAAATCAACCAATCAACTGTGTGGTGACACAGTGACATTAGAATATGCGTGATATTTTTGTTCAGAGAGAAGTGCTAAAAACGACTTAATATAAACTTCAAACTTTTATCTGTTACTTCTGCAATAAGTAATCCTAAGTGGTACAAAACTAAGTTTATAAATTGTAGGCTTTGCATAAACCTTCTTCATGATAAAAGCTTCTGACCAATTTAAACATGCATCGTAAATTATTCTTCTTGTAATGGACTAGTAAAAGGAATATGAATTCGCGACTATACTGTTTTTGAACGTAACTTCATTTTGTTTGGTAGCTTAGCAGCTTCTGCAGACCTTCCGCAGTTTTGAGCTATACATTCCGATTCAAGTTATAGGTTTGGTCAAGAAACATGGATCCTAGCGACCACTTTTACTGTACTGAGTTGTTGAAATGAATGTTGCTGACGGAGTACTGCTGTTTTTACTGAGTGGGGACAATCATATGAACATCAAATTTTGCAGTTATCAAACACTAAGAGGGAATTCCGTTTCAATACAATTTTTTCAGTTCTGGACAGGCAATATGCTGTCACCAACGGCAGCGCAGGAATTTAATCACTTCACTTATTTCTAGGCCTAAGAAAATAGCTTCTTTCATCTTTGCATCTGGTAACGATGTAAATTTGATAGCGCCTCACATCCTTGTCAACAGAACTTGCAGTAACCGCTAAACCTGCGTTTTTCACTTTTCGATTCCTGATTTAAATCATACACAGATTTGCACTTTATTTTGAAAATACAGACGATAAGAGTAACCGATCATCCATATAGAAGATTTTGTGTGTGCACCTGGATTCATTTTTCTAGGACCAAAAGTTGACAGTAGATGCTTTTGATCAGTTAGCAGCTTGCAGCTACAACCAAGAAACATGTTATGAACATTTCTGAAAGTTTCAACCAAAGCAAGATGGCCAAGAACTATGACTGCTTTAATAGCACGTGAATACTGACTGGGAAATTCAGTAAGTACAGTTCCTAACCTTACTTCAATTGGGATAAATGCTGATCATCAAAACAAGTGGACTCAATAAATGATGCTGTGGAACTGGTTGCAATTCAAATAAACAGCATAGCGTAGAACTGAGCAGGTCACTAAAATAGTAAGGAATATTTACGTTATCGAAGTGAGTGATTTTTTGTTCCCTTCCAGTTGAATTGATTATTATAGTAAACCACAGAATTTTAGCTTTACGAACAACATATCGTTTTGAATAGGTAAAGTAAAGTTTCACTCTTCACTCAGTTTTCAGACGGTTATCTTAAGACAGAGTTGAAAACTTTAACATAAAACATTTCCTACATCGCATATATTTTACCGAAGTTTAATTAGGTTATATAAGCCGGAAGATCATATCTCTAAGCTGTATAAAGTAAATAAGGTCAGATAAAAATATACTAATCAATTTCAGTCATTTAGAAAGTGTCATTAAGTCAGATTTTTTGCTTTGATTACATAAAATTATTTGACCACGCTTAATTTGAGAAGTGAGTGATGTCGGAAAGAATTTTCAATGATACGTAAAGCAAAAAGACGTGTATTTTTCTGATCCCTTTGAACTATGAATGTGAACGATTTTAACTGCAACTTGCTATTATGGCTGCTAGTAACAACTTCATATGCGTTAAGTTCATGGGTATATTTTTATCCCCATCACGCTTTACTAGTTCAAAAAACCTTTGAAAGTGACTAAAACTACTTCCTAAAAGAAAATGGTTGATTTGATCAACAAAACATTACATGCGATTTTAACAGATAGTAATAGCTCAATGTTCAAGTCAATGTTCAATCCTAAAGTCTAATTTAGTTTTATTATAACCAAACAGTTTTATTTATCTCTTAGTAAATCTTGAGTTAATTAGACTGTGAATAATAATCTCTGCCTTCAAGCACATGTGTAAACTGTCTCATTTGAGGAAACAAGCATCCAGGATTCCATTGTCAGTCATTATCAAAATCAGGAAATGCTGATTTCACTAAACACTACTAAATATTTAATTCAATTTTATATTTTTCCCTCGATTGATTGGAGCGAAGTTCTTGGTCTCAGGTTGACATGTCAGCTTCTTGTGCAGATGCTTCGACGATGTCTGGGGATGCAATTAGAAGTTGACTGGTGGATGGTGACTAGCAGTGGAATCCAGAATGCGCATTTCATCCCATGTATGACTCGTTAGCTGGGTTCACCTGCGCTCCGCAGTGAGTGATGGGCACTGGGTTCGGACCTCAGTGGGAATATCCCCACTCACTGAGGAATACAGGTAAATGCAGATGACGAGTCCGAATAGG